AATATGGGCAGAAGTAATAGCAGAAAACTTCCCAAATATGAAGAAACAATCTGATACGTAACTGAAGCATACAGAACTCCAAATAACTTCAACCCAATTAAAAACACACCGAGACATATAATAGTCAAGATCCCAGAAATCCAACACAAGAATATCATACTAAAGCTGCTAGAGAAAAGAAGCAGATCACATTCAAAGGAAAACCTATCAGAATTACAGCCGACTTCATAAACCATGAAGGAAAGAAGAGCATGGAGCAGAGCACTTCAAGTCCTCTATGAAAACAAACTCCAACCCAGACTACTATACCCTGCAAAACTCTCTTTCAAGTTTGATGGAGAAGTAAAATACTTTCATGACAAAAAACAACTAAAGAATTTCATGATGGCAAAACCAACCCTACACAGACTACTGAAAGATGTTCTAGAGACGGACCAAAATTATCAGAACTCCACCGAGAACAGAAGAAACCCATTAAACAGGACAAACACAGGAGAAAAAAGTTTAAAAACAGCATTCGAATAACATGTCAGTCATAAGTCAACACATCTCAATAATAACCATCAATATAAATGGACTCAATTCACCAATTAGGAGAAATAGATTGGCACAGTGGATTTGGAAACAAAACCCAGCAATATGTTGCATACAAGAAACACATTTAACTCATAAAGAAACTCATAGGCTGAAAGTGAAAGGATGGAAAACAATACTACATGCCCTAGCACTTCAGAAAAAAGCAGGGGTAGCAATCCTATTCTCAGACAGTCTCAACTTCAAATGAAAAACGATCAAACGAAATAAAGAAGGCCACTATATACTAGTTAGAGGAAAAATTCAAGAGGAAGAAATAACAGTCATAAATATGTATGCACCAAACACGGGAGCACCCAACTATGTAAGACAAACTTTAATAGACATGAAAAATCTAATATCCAATACAACAATCTTAACAGGAGACCTTAACACCCCCTTATCCCAAATAGATAGATCAAACAGACAAAAAATTAGCAAAGAAGTAGCACAACTGAACCAAATCTTGGAACAAATGGACTTGGTAGACATACACAGAGTGCTCCACCCAACCACAGCGGAATACACTTTTTTTTTCAGCTGCACACGGATCATTTTCTAAAATAGATCACATTCTAGTACACAGGTCATGCTTAAGTATATGCAAGAAAACAGAAATTATTCCATGCATATTATCTGATCACAATGCAATGAAACTGGAAATAAAT